CAGGGGCTGCCCCGCTGCGCGCGGCCGTGCCACGAAGGCGGCCGTTTCCTGAGCTCCCCGAGGCAGCACGAGGGTGCTCGGTGTGTTTAGGACGAGCAGGGGACCCCAGGCTCTCCTTGGACGGTCCATGCGGAGGGCTTGGCTCAACCCTAAGGCTGCACAAAGCCGGCAGAGTCACGTCCAGGCTGCTTGCTGTGACTTCTGCCTCTGCAGTTTTGCAGGGGTCCCAGCGAAGCCTGAGGTTGTCTCTGGAGACATCCCTTTCCCTCCTGCAAATAAGCACAAGCTGCAGCAGTCCTGAACCTCTGCGAGGCAACGGCACAGCCTGGAGCCTCGAGCAGGGAATCTACTCATCCGTGGGCAGGCAGAGCAGCGCTGCCTGCTTCTGCAGGTAGAGAGGAGCCCTCCTCCTTCCCCACCTTAAAGAGGGCACAAAACCTACTGCACGCCCCCAGGGCAAAGGGACCACCTTCTCCTTTCCTGCCTCCAGGTCGAGAGAAATGCAAATAGCACTTACCATGCTAGTGGCAGGATGAACTACAGGTCTTAGGAGCACGTTTCTGTTAAAGCCCCAGCGAGGTTTAAATGGCTCTGAAGGAGGGGGAGAGGGGGGAGACCGGGGAGGCGAGTTTAATCTAAAGGAGCTCCCAGTGACGCCTCAGAGCTCTCCTGAAACCCAGCAATCTGATTTGGTGTAAAGCTGTCAAACTTGTGACGTGAATAAACAGCAAACTTGCTGAAATCAAAGTCATTCTGGCCACACAAATCAACACAAGGAAGGAGGGAAAAGAAAAGTAGGAGAGAGAGAGAAAAAAAAAGCCTCCACTCAGGACAGCACTGAGCTGGTGTGTCTGAATTTCACTCTAGGAAATGAGCAGGGATCTAGGGAAGCATCCCACATGTTCACAGCAGGGCTGTTGGTGTTGCTGGTGGGTTTTGGTCTGTGTGGTTTTAAAGCCTTTTTTGCAGTTGTAAAATCCAGCAGGAAGAAGCTAGTTTGACCAAATAGCTCAGATTTTCCACTCCTTCCCAGGGGTGTGTTGAAGCAAACACCATTTGGGGCAGTTCTGAGGAAGCAGGTGTAGGTTTCAAGGCAGTGCAGTCTGCACATGACAACTTCCAACAAATAGCTTATTTAATTAAATTATTTGTTATAAGAAGTCAGGTTTCCAGGAGAAGATGTCAGGATATAAATGAGCTGAGAATGGAGTAAGATTTACCAGAATGCAGGGTGATAAAGCAAAAACTATATGTGTGCGTGTGAAAGACAGAAAAATTGCCTGTATATACAGGCAATTCTAACTCAAATCAGACTTCCATAGTAATTAAAGTCCATAGATCAGCTTAAGATTTTTTTCCGGGATAAAACAAAACAAAAAACACCTCCTCACTGCTGGTCTATCCCTGCACAGCGTAAAGACTGGTGCAAAAAGGGCTGCTGGCCAGGACCCTGCCTCCTGCCATGCCAAGGGCTATCAAGCAGAGTAATGGGGCCCGCCTGCACACACGGTGTGCAGTGGCCGAGGGCAAGGACGGGCCACGGGCAGGCCAGGCTGGCCCAGGGGATGGTCTTTCCTTTCTCCCAGGAGGATGCTCCAGGCTCTTGCCCCAGCAGCATCGCTCAGGGACAATAAAAACCGAGAGGGCCATCTGCACTCTGTTCTTTTCTTACTGGCAGGCTCTCCGAGGTGGCTGCCCACAGTAAAGCAGCAGCCACACCAAATAATCCCTCCCCCCCCTTTGTTTTTTGCTTTTTTTTTTTTTTTTTTTTTTTTTTTTCCCCCAAGGAGGTATTTTATGCAGAGCTTGTGCTGCGTGTCCCCGCCGTGCCCAGCTTTTGCTTGGGCTGTTAAGGCAGCTTTCCCCAAGCACAGCTCCGCACAAAACACCCGCAGCACCAACGAAGCCCCCTGCCTGCACCCCGGGGGTGCTGAGAGGCTCTGCGGCCCCCGAAGGGTCCGGAGAGGCGGG